TAAAACCCCAGACGCTGTATCTTTTGATAATTTTGTATTCTATCATCCAGAATTCAGGAAAAAGTCTAGGTATCTGCTTTTACAGTCTCCCTGGATTGCTCCAGGGCCCTCTAGGGGGATGTATCACCTACTTTGGGAAACATGATGCAAACACTGGCTCCTATCTCCCATTGGACAAGACTTGCTCCCTGAGGTGTTAACACCCTTTCATTTTCAGGTATGCGTGTGACAGGACTGCTGAAGGGCAAGCGTCCCAATTGGAACAGCAGCAAGCCTTGGGACAAGAGTGAAAAATACATGTGAGGGGACTGAGAGACAGTGCTGTCAGATCACACCAGAGTGCAGCTTAAGGACAGCCAACAGAATATGAGGTACGGAGCCAGAGTAGCCAAACCACTGCCAACACACAAGCAGTGAGGTGTTGTTTATCCGGCTCTAGTCTCCTCCTCTTTCAGCAAGCCAGAGAAGCCTACTTTGTGGGTTCCAACCAGCATTACAAACAACAACAAAGAGAATTAAAAAGAATGGAAAACAGCAGTACATCATACAAAATAAGGGTAAGCATTGCTTTGCAACACAGTTGTTTCAGTGCTACCTACATAAGTACGGGGTCACAATGTAAAAAGAACTTATTCTGGGTCATAGTCCAAAAGTCTGCAAAGTACAGCAAAGTATTGCACACACGTGCCCTCTTCAGCAATGAACAACAGTGTTTAGTCCTCACAGCTTTACTAATGTAGCAGTCAAGTTTCCGTCCTTTTTTCATTCTGAAAAGTAGAACATTGTATGATCAGATAGTTTAAATGTCTGTTTCTCTTAAGTAAGTGAAATTGAGGATCTGTTCATCAAATTAACAAGTGGTTCTATTTTCCTTTGGTACTTTGGTGGTGCATGGGGTTACATGGTGGGCTGCTAATGGGAGAAAGATGAGGCTTTGTGTTCCAGTGGAGAGTGACAGTCCTAGAAACCCACAGGGGCAGTTCTACTCCGTTCTAGAAGGTCTCCATGAGTCAGAATTCACTTCATGGCAAGGAGACGTTTATATTTTCTTTGGAATCTATCTCAGTCTTGCCTTTCTTTGACTTTTAAAGAAAATCCATTTTTAGGAACTGTATTAGAAAATTAGTTTCACATCTGTGATATAAGCTGTCTTTTGATCTATGGTGTTTTTTTACTGTGTAGACATTATGATGTATATTTAGGCTATCATATTTCTTTTATGATCTCTGAGTTTGTATCATATTAAAAATTCTCCCTCTCTCCTACTCCACGAAGATTATAACATAATTCTTACATGGTTTCTTGTAATTTGTTAATATCCCATCTTGTGCCTATTTGGAAAGTGTCCTAGGATGAAATGTCAGACATGGGTCCTACTTACATTTTTTTCAGGTAGCTTCCTAGTTGTCCTAATACAAAATAGTGAATACACACTATCACAAACTATTTCTTAGTTCATGCGATGCTGTGTTCATTAAACAGACTTTGAAGTAGGCTTTGGCCTTGGGACTAACAACATATATGCAATTTGAGTTTAACTCTAGTAACTGCTTCTCACCTGTTGTTTTAAATTTAAAAGCTCTTCAAAATTTGCTGTCTTAAAAGAAATTTTAAAAAATTTAGGCTTTCATTCTTTTTTATTTAAATTGTATGTATTGTGTTGTTGGGACTATACACAGCAAAACATATATCACACGATTCAAAAGTTTCTACAAGTACAATTTAGCGAGATTGGTTACATTCTTTAAGTTATGCATTCTCTCCTTCCTTGTTTGAACTGTTCCAGGCCATTACCAAACAAACAAAAAACCCAAACTCGCTGACTTTCCATTAACTCTGATGCATAGTGACCCTCTAGGACAGAGCAGAACTGCCCCAGTGGGCTCCTGGGGCTGCAAATCTTTATGGAAGCAGAAAGCCTTGTTTTCCCAAGGAGCAGCTGGTGGTTTTCAGCAGCCTACTCTTTGTCAACTTACCACCCAGACACTTCTCCTTCAACTCTATTCAGCACCCAAAAGGGAACCACAGCAAAGTTCTGCATCTTTCTAATATAATCGAATCACCTCACAGAAAACAAATTTGCACATAACAAATATGTGAATTATTTTCCCCAAAAGAGGATGACACAGAGTCGTCCCTTCACCCTTACCCCCTTTTTTCCCCTTTGGGTAATGTGAATTCTTCAAAGCTGATTCACATTCCCCTAAGATTTCCATTGGTTTTTTTTCAGGTCTGACCCACAGCGACTCTATGCACAACAGAGCAAAACCCTGCACGGTCCAGTGCCATCCGGACAAAAGTTCCTGTCCTGAGTCTATTGATGCAGCCTCTCATTGAGGGCCTTCCTTCTTGTTGATGCTCCTCCACTTTACAAACACGATGCCCATCTCCAGGGATTGGTTTCTCTTGGCAATGAGCCCAAAGTGTGCAAGATGAAGTCTTATTGTCCTTGTCTCTAAGGAGCATTCTGGCTGTACTTCTTCCAGGACAGAGCGGTTTACCCTTTTAGCAGCCCATGGTACTTTCAATATTCTTCTCCACCTCCCTAATTCAAATGCATTGCCTTATCTTTGACCTTCAGTATTCAATATATCCAACTTTTATGTGCATATCAGACAATGGAAAATACCATGGCTTAGATCGGGCACACCTTAGTCCTCAAAGTACCATCTTTGCTTTTGAATACTCCAAAGAGGTGTTGTGCAGATTTAGCCAATGCAATATGTCATTTGAGCTCCTGATAGTTGCTTCCATGAGCAGTGATTGTGGATTCAAGGCCCCCGCAAAAAAAAAAAAAAAAATCCTTGACAACTTCAAACTTTTCTCCATTTATGTCACTTATTGGTCCAGTTGTGAGGATTTTGGTCTTCTTTACTTTGAGTCATAATCCATACTGAAGACTGCAATCCTTGATCTTCATCAGCAAGTGCTTCAAGTCCTCCTCACTTTCAGTAAGCAAGGCTGTGTCGTCTGCATGCTGCAGGTTGTTAATAAGCCTTCCTCCAGTCCTGATGCCAGATTCTTCTTCATATAGTTCAGCTTCTCTGATCATTTGCTAGCACACAGATTCAACAAGTATGGTGAGCGGATACAGCTCTGGTGCACACCTTCCTGAAGAGTGGCCCACAGGAAAGCTTAGCTCATTATACCACCAGAGCTCCTTTTGCCATGATAAAATAATATTAAAGCCTTTTTATTTGAATACTTTCATAAATATATTAACTAAGTTTTTTTTCTATCTCAGACCCCTAACATCTAATATAAGGTATGTTGATAACACTTGATGTTACATCTCCACATTTAAGTTACTAGAAATCTAAGCTATGCATATAAATATGGAGATATAACATCAAGATGTAACTTCTAGATATACTACTCCTAGATATACTCCTCCTTATCCATATTTTATGGTAGCAACCCAAATTCCCCTTGATAGTATCAATTTATCAGTGATCCTCGAACTTTGCCTGTTGATTCACTGGTATGAAGAGCCCCAAATGTCTAGGAGACAGCCTTAACTTGTAGTTTAATGGACTCATTGTTGTTCCCTGGTAAAAGCAAGTTTTCTCTGTGGAAGTACTATCTTGAGGTCAGCAAAACCTAAGGTTGTGGGGACAAGAGGCAAGCATTTTGCTATTGGGTCGCTAGAGATAGCAGTGTGTGGATCCACTCCCATTTCCACCCCTTCATTTCTATACTCACAAGTTCTGGCTATGGGTGAAATAGCACTACATATTGGACAGACTTAGAGCATATACCACATCCTGGAGCATATTCCCTAGGCCTGTGAAGTCTTGCCACCTAGCTAGCACCCCGGGCCATTCTGCCACTCTCTCAAACCAGCTCCTGGGGGATCCCAGAGAACCTGGTACGATCATTACAATACTTCACTGCTGTGAAGTAAGTTCCTTAGCGAGAAATGATGTGGTGAGGATGCCAGGATGGTGGATAAGGCATTCTGTAAGTTCACTTATCTTCACAGAAGCACTGACAGAAAGGTACACAAACCCATATCCAGAGCAAAGGTCTATTCCCATGAGAACAACGTGTGACCTCTTTTTCTTTCTGCGATACAGAAGAAAGTCTGCTACTAGAATGGAGCATGAATCCAGGGCGTGGTGTGACACTGATGAACCACTTAACTATCCTCTAGTTCTTTAAGAGTCCTCCCCTTACTAAGATGATCCTTTCGTGACATACCTCACCGGTCATGTTAGACTTGCATATGTTCGTTTGTACATTTAGGAGTGCTCAGTCCATGTTAGTGAAGTTAGATGACTCCTCAGAGACAGTGACAGGAGTAAGGGTTCCCTG